AGCAAGGAGACATTTTATAACATTTCCTTAAATAGCCGCCTTTCCTTGTGCCACCCTCAAAATATGTACGTCGTTTTTTGTCAAAACTGCTGTCAAAAATGCCGAGAGTGAAGACATCTCTTCCTCTCCCCCTTCCTGTTTCTTATATAGTTTCTTGGACGGTCTTGTCTTTTCAGAACTAGCAGAAATGTGGAAAAGGAGACACGACAAAGTGCAACAAAATTTTTCTCTGCAGGTACGTTATACGAACTCTTGTCTACACATTGTCCATTGTCTGAGTTATAATTGATGCATCTTCTACTTTACAGTTGAATGCATTTTGTATTATGCATTATGTAACTCAAGAAGTGGGCAATGTTCAGCACACTGTGTCTGTAATGAATAAACCACGAATTTTCGTTCTGTGTAAACTATAAGATTTGAGGTTCACACTGCGGTGAGAACGTTCATGATGGTCTTCTGGAATATGACGTTGTACTTATAGATGTGTATAAACCTTTCGGCGGAACGTATTACATCCATCTTCAGAACGTACAAGTCCTCACAATATCATAACTCAGAAAACCATTACGTACGAGCTTATACAACTTAATACTTTATTGATTGAGCGAATCCAAATGTACATTTATGGAAATATAATTCATGATTACATTAATTTGGAAAGAAAACATACTAATAAGTTTTGTCTCTTACACATAATAGGCCTATCGTAAAATTTGTTCACAAAAGTAATTAGGCCTTACTGTCTTGGCAGTATGTCTGTAATGAAGACTACCACAGATAGAAAAAATATTGTTAAAAGCGTTCGAAATATTGTGGGAGGAAATTAAATTTTATGTCTATTTCTGTCAAAGATATTTGCTATCTTTTATTCTCATAGAAGCTAATTGTTGGGTCTGGGTCCTCTGTAATAAATAATAGGCTAAGGTGAACCCTGGATTAAGCCCTTGGCCTGTTTCGGTTACAAAGATTACATCTCTTCGATAATTTTGTGGAACTTCTCTGATGTGTTCAGCCCGCTGGTTTATGCTGAGGCATCACCAGCTTCGGTATTCTGTTGTCAAGTATTCCTTCGGAACGTTTTAGAAATGTAGAACGTTTTTATATTTCAATAATCTTATCTGTGTCCGTCATATCCAGTTTGTCTCTAACATTACGTTTTCGTCGTCATATAAACCACTGATGATTTAAATGAACAGCAACAACAAAATCAGTAAC